ATAGCATGTGCTTCAAGGCCAAAGTTTTAAAAAAACCTCAAAAAAAAAATCATAAATCTTTTGATTAAGCTTCGTAAGTGAAGACTGACACGTGTTTGGTGAGACATAGCCCGTATTTGGTCTTTTTTAGCATTTTGGCTCCAGATAAGCACCAGATTTGCTCCAGATATGTTCCAAAGACTTTCAAACTACCACTCCACTTCAAATTACCTAAAATAGACAGCAAAACATGAGTCGTATGGGAATTCTTATGTAATACATGAGTTGAACATTATTTAGACTAATACATATGAAGAAAAAAACATAAAATATGGTACAAAATTCTAATAAAAAATACTATAAAAGATGCATAAAACGGCATCTATCAATGACACACTCCTTAATTCCATTGTTGTATTATTGTGTATTTCAGAATTTTTAGAATCATGCACAAGAAATTGATAAGCACTACTATTTTGTGTATATCTAATGAATACACAATCCACTGTTTTAGGTCCTAGCTTTTATACCTTAAGTGGTGGTACAACAACTTTGGCTAGGCACCCCCACAATCATAAGTATTTATATGATGGCTTCCTTCCCATCTAAAGTTTGTATGGTGTTTCATTCTTTTCCTTGTAGGGTATCTTATTCAAAATAAAGTTAACCAAAAAAAATAGCTTCGATTTTGTTGGCTTCCTTCCCATCTAAAGTTTGTATCGTGTTTCATAAGTATTGATATGATGGCTTAAACCATAACTAATTAACATGCCATTCACCCTCTCTTTCAAGGTATGGTTCTTTCTCTTAACAATACCATTTTGTTAAGGTAAATAGGGTGTTGTGAATTCATGACGAATTCCATTTTGAGAACAAAATTCATAATATGGAGAAACATACTCTCCACCCCTATCACTTCTAACCACCTTGATTTTCTTGTTGAGTTGATTCTCAACTTCATTTTTATACACGACAAACTTGTTTATTGCTTCAGTTTTACTCTTAAGTAAATATATATAGCATAATTCATGCTATCATCAATGAACGTGATGGAGTATTTATTCCCACCTCTAGTAGGAATCAATTTTAAATCACACACATCGGTATGAATTAAATCAAGAGGTTTGGTGTTTCTTTCAATCATATGGACAGAAGATCTAGTAAGTTTGGCTTCAACACGTGTGGTACATTTATGATTTGAATCAATATCAAATTTTGCTATGTAATTTAGTTTAACTAAATGACGAATTGAATTGTAATTTACATGTCCTAAACGACGATGCCAAACATTTGAAAATTCAAGCATATAAGTAGAACAAGTACTTGGTTCATTCTTTTTGTTTGTCACCATTATATTCAATTTGAGCATGTGATTCATAGTATATCCTTTTCCCACAAACATACCACTTTTGGAAAAAAACAAAAAAAAAAAAAAAAAAAAAAAAAAAAAAAAAAAAAACAAACTTGTCCGAATCAAACATAAGTTTAAAACCAGACTTATTTAATAACCATCCCGACATGAGATTCTTACAAAGTTCTGGAACATACAAAATATCCTTAAGCTTTAACTCTTTCCCCAATGTCATTTTTAGAACAACATCGCTAACACCTTTGATATCATTGGTGGTTGCATTTCCCATGTAGAGCTTCTCACCATTATCAACATCCTTGTAGATGTTGAAATTGCTCTTGTCATGACACACATGACGAGTAGCTCCGATATCGATCCACCATTCTCTTGAATTTGTATCTAAGATATTCACTTTCAATATCATGGTTGTAAGATCCGTAATCATGGTCACCAACTTCACATCATCGTTCACCATGTTTGCTTAACAATGATTATCCCTCTTAGGTTGCGGGCACTCCGAAGCTTTGTGAACCAGTTAGCGAAAATTGTACCACTGAACTTCTCCTTGAAGTTTCCAACTTTAGGGCCTAGGTTTCTACCAATTTCCTTTCCTTTGTTTGCTCCTTTGATTTTATTCTTGGAAGCTTAACCAACTTCCACCATATGAACCTTTAAAGATTTAACACCACCATTATTCTTCAAGGCCATCCAATTGTTCTCTTTAATGTGAAGACGCACCACAAGCTCCTCCATAGTCATCTACTTTTGTTTATTCTTAAGGTAGTTCTTGAAGTCTATCCAACCGGGAGGAAGCTTTTCAATTATTGATGCAAACTGGAAAGACTCATTGAAAACCATCCTTTCTGCAAGGTTATCATATATAATGACTTGAAGATCTTGGACTTGACTTATAACAGATTTAAGTAAATTATTTTAACTCTAAGAATTTTGCAACAACATGTTTCTTGGTTCTATCATCTTCAATCTTATACTTTCAGCTCAATGATTCCCACAATTCCTTAGTCGTTGCATCTTTGCAATAGACATTGTAAAGTGCATCAGCTAGCCCATTCAACTCATAATTGCAGCATAGAAATTCGGAGTGCATCCAAGACTCCACCGTGCTCACAGACTGAATGTCGGCTTCTCCCTGAGCAACTTGGGGAGTATTTTTGTAAGGAACCAAGCCAAGTTAAGTGTGGTTAAGTAGAAAAACATCTTCTGTTATCATCTCTTGAAGTTAAGACCACAAAGCTTCTTTGCTCTCTCAACATGATTAGCCATGGTATTTGGAACATGTGTGGTAGCATTCTGATTCACAACAGGGGGAGGAGTTGTTCTTGTCCATTCGTTCTGAAAAGATTATTCAAACGAATAATTAGAACCACAAACGAAATTGTTTACAAAAAACATATATAACACGATTAGCATAAATAAAGATGAAAAATAAGAAAAAACTGATTTAATCGAAAAAAATTTGATTGAAACAGTTTAATGAAAGATCTTTTTAGGATTGTTGCTTTTCGTTAATAAATCTGCAAAATAAATAAATAGTAAATAATCACGTTGGTTGATGGAGGCTCGTGTTTGACACAATTCCCTTAAACAAATTCACAATCTGTTCTCATGGTACAACAACCAAAGCAGTATGCACAAACACAATTCCCTTAAACACAATTCACAATCTGTTCTCATGGTACAACAACCAAAGCAGTATGCACAAACACAATTCCCTTAAACAAATTCACAATCTGTTCTCATGGTACAACAACCAAAGCAGTATGCACTGCCAAATCTGACCACTTGCGTATCTTTATAGGTCGCGCCTACAAAATTCATTATTTGCACCCCATGCGTGCTCGTAGGTGGTGGAGTAAAACCATACATAGAAGCTCGTAACCTCATTACACATCTATGTTTATAAGCACACTAAGAGTTTGCTCATTTTTCCTATATGGGACACATTCTCATACCTACTTTATTTGCTAACTTTATTTCCAAATACTCATATTTAATAATCAATATATCATTCACACATTCTTAGTTTTGGACACTAACATGTCGTTTCGAAGCTCTCACAGTGGATAACATAACCACTAAGTGTTAATAAAATATACAATATATTTATATTTATATGTATCAAAGGTTATGATGACATGGTAAAATATGTGGGAGATATAGTAGATAACTTATTGATTTATGTTTAAATCTTGATACTACTCAGCCCTTATGGCTTGTGGCAGTGGAGGTTCATCTACAGTGACTCCAATGCATAAGACATAGCTTCATGTTTGCAGCGGGGATTAGTTTGTGCACAAAAATTGGTCTGGAACTCTCGTTAGGGAAGTTATTTTCCAAAAAAATTAATAAAATAGATAATTTTATTAAAATTTCAAGTAATTTCAACAAACAAAATTCTTTTTTAGCCTAGAAAAAGATTTGACGCAACATTTAATGGTGGTATTCATTCTAAAAGTAGGCATATATGCACGTTCCAACACCCTTTTCTCGAGTTTTTTAAGGAAGAAAATTGTGTTATTGATTTTATATGTTAAGGAGTTGAATGGAAAATTTTAGAAAGGAAATGAAAATAAGGACATTTTTTCAGAGTTAGAAAGGAATGAAGTGAAGACACCTCGAAAAGAAAAAAGTTATCTTGTTCTGAGATTTTTTTTTTTTTTTTTCTTTTTTTGAAAGAATAGGAGATGATAGTTAAGAAGTAGATAGGCTGATTTTCCCAAATCGGAGGGATTTGGAGGGGAAAAATTTATCACCAAGGAACACAGATACGATTGTTTTTTTTTTTCATTCTATTTTTTTATTATATTTTCTTCCCTTTTTTTTTCATTTACTAAAACCTAGGAACTATGTTAAAATATCTCCTCCAAATATAAAAGATAATAGATTTTAATTCCTTAGCTTTCATTTCCTCGATTTTTAACTCAAGAACATTGGGTAAAAAATATTAGGGTTTATGCTAATTAATCAATAATTAATAATATTAATCCTCCCGAAAAGCTGTAATTAGCGAGTGAGCACATGAGGGTGCACGTGACTCGTTTGTTTGTGCATCGGGATCATAATCCCTATCTTTCACTCATCACGTGATTCAATAGTGTCGGTCACGTGAATTTCTCTTTTGTTAAACCTAAGAATAATATTTCATAATCAAAACTAACCAATAGTTAGATGGACATAATTATCATGGTATATTTTAGTTTTAGTTGATTTTAGAAAATATATTCTTTTCTTTTTACAAATGTAACAAAATGAAAATAGAGATTCAAAAAAAATCAATATTCTTCAATTTGGTCAGAAAAATAATTTTGCAAAATAATATGCATATACAATTTTTTTTGCGAAACCTATAATCTAAGTTTTGGTGTTTTTGTTGGTAATTTCAAAAAATAGTTAATTTCATATTGGGAGAATCATATAGTTAAACTTGGCAAAGTTAACAGCATTCGGTAAAAGACATTTTAAAAAACATATGAATATGTTGTGATATATGTGAAAAAATAATATTTTATAATAAAATTCCTCTTGTTTTTTTTTTTAGCTATAAAGCCTATTTAAAATATTTTAATTAAATTAAATATGTGTTATTAGTTATTACTTTAGAAAAAGAGATAAAGAAATGTGAAGAAAGCAAATAGTGATCAGAGCCTCACATTGCATGGTCACTCTACCCACGTTCCATTGCCTCCCTCCCACTGGAACCCTTAATCCCAAAGCTACGTACTATGTCTAATACCCTATATCATCCCCCTTTCTCACTCCTTCCATATTCCATTACTCCTCTTCTCTCTTCCACCACCGCCGCCGCCACCACCACCACCGGAGAAGCATTTTGAATAGGAGGAGGAGCGATCTATATGGATATCTATGGAATGTCGTCGTCCGGACAGGATTTCTCCGGCGTTGACGAGCTACTTGACTTCTCCAACGACCATGGCGCCGACTTATTCTGTACTGCCTCCGCCACTGACACACTTCACCACCACCACAACGTCACCTCCTCCTCCTCCTCCACCTTCACCTCCACCGCCACTGGCTGCCATTTCCAATATGGGGTTAACAACATTAATGAAGATAGCAATAATAATGGTAGCAGAGATATTGCTACCACCTACCACCACCACTCCACCGACTTCACCGACGACTTATGTGTGCCTGTATGATCTCGCCTCCTTTAATTTCTTCACCTTCATTTTTTATTTGGAATTGATAACACTGTTTATATTTTGTAACTGATTTTTGTTAAATTTGTTGTTAGAGCGATGACGTGGCGGAGCTTGAATGGCTATCGAACTTTGTTCACGATTCGTTCAGCGATTTTCCGGCGAATAATATGGCTGGAACTATAAACTATCGACCGGAGAACGCATCATTTCATAACCGATCAAGAAGCAAGAGAACCAGAGCACCTACAAACAACAATAACTGGACATCAACGCCGCCGTTACCCACCACTTCGATCTCCGGAAAAACGTACTCATCGCCTACGTCATCCTCCGATACAACGTCGGAACCTGGCTTAGTCCGTCGATGCACGCACTGCGCATCGGAGAAGACGCCGCAGTGGAGAACCGGGCCGCTAGGGCCAAAGACGCTGTGTAACGCTTGCGGCGTGAGGTATAAGTCCGGGAGGTTGGTACCGGAGTATCGACCGGCGGCGAGTCCAACGTTTGTCCTGACTCAGCATTCCAACTCTCACCGGAAAGTAATGGAGCTCCGCCGACAAAAGGAGATGATTGTCGCCGTCGGCCAACCACAACAATCACCATCGTCTGAATACCAACTCTACGGCGGCGGACACCATCATCACCAAGTCCGCCACCACCACCACCATAACCGCAACAACTACGAGGTCTGCTGACATCATCATCTTCTACAACAACTACATTCACCATCTTAACGCCTTTAATTAATTTCACAGGTTTTCGTCTTTTGTTATTCACATCACATCTGCGATCATCGATCAGAAAATAGTTTCAGTAATTTGACTTTGTTCTTTATCTGATGATCATCGATTTCTATTGATTTTCTGAATAAATTAATCAAGAGGTTACTTAAATGTTCAACTACCGGAGTGATGAGTGATGACCTTCCACGTGATAGGCTCTGTACGAACATGTATGATAGTAAAACCCGGCTTTGTTACCGGTTCGGTTCATGAACCCTTTTCTTTTTTTAGATATCATACAAAGTAATTTAAAATTATAAAATTATTACTTTTTTAATGTCACGTGGAAAACAAATACTATTATAGATAAAGAAATATTATGATTAATTTGTTTGATATAATCTTGTGTGATGTAAATCATATATAGTTGAATTGAAGAATGAAGATGATACTCATGTTTGCACATATGAGTTTAAAATACAACTTCTTAAGAATAGGGAATAGTATCATTATGTAACTTTAAAACACCTTATTTGCATGTGTTTATCTCATTTTAGTATCAAAGCACATGATACTTGCCTCTTGTGGTCTAAATAGTAACTTTAACTCAATGTATAAATATGGTAGAACATCAAATTTGTTACATATTCTTGCTTTAAAAAACAATAAAACAACCGTCTGTTTTTGCCATAAAAGTCGAATACGTCATACGTTTTATCTTCTTTTTTTTTTTATTAATTTGTTTGAACTATATAAGTGAAACTATATGATAATTAGAATAAGTGGAGCAAGTAATATCCATGTTAGTTTTTAATTTTTAATGCGATAACTTTTTTAATGAAATTTTTTATAAGAAAGCTAGGGAGGTCTTAGATCAAAAATTAAATTATAAAATTATGATTTTGCAACAAACAAGTCCACTTCAAATCAATTTTGTTTGCTCTTGTTACGAATTTGAATATACCAAAGAGACCAACTTGTAAAAAACTTCATAGGCTTAGCCGTTTCCAAAAATATTGGTTTTCTGAAAATAAAGCACCAAAATAATTGCAATAATCTCCGCATTTAACTTAACATTGTCGAAATCTCACCAACTAGCAATTGAGCTCAAAACATACTCTATTACGGGGAACTTAAAAGAAGGTATTTTGATGTGTCGATAAACAAGTCACTAACGGAGTAAAAGGTATACTCAATGTCAATCTCTTAATCAACTAGATTCACACGCCCTAGACACATGGTTTAACCCCATCATCAAAACCAAAACATTGTGTTTAATTGAAACTAAAAATTTCCATTTTGTAGGGTCGTCGGTAATAGTTGTGATATTTGTTTTGCATTAATTGAATCATACATAACAAGTAATATATATGTATCCACACATGTACATGAGAGTGGGCCAAAACATACATAAATGAGAGTGGGTCGATAGCATACCAAGGCTATATACAAAATACATAAATATATAATCACTAATATGTCCTCGTAGTGTGAGTGGGAGGTTGGCAAATGCTCAAACTAGAGCAAAAGTCAGAGAAAAAAGGGAACGGGAGACATTTGGTGAAGATTTCTACAAACCGGTAACGGGAAGGAACATGGAGAACCCAAACATGTCGGACAACAACTTTGTCTTGCACAAAGTGAATATCAAGCTTAAATTGTTTGGCCCGTTGATGGTGGATCGGGTTGGCTGTCATGTATATAGCATTGATGTTATCACAATACACAATTGTAGCAGACTGAAGATGAGAGTAAAACTATCTTAGGAGATTGCGTAACCAATCAGTCTCATAACAGGATACATGCATTGTCACTTGGATGACCATGAAATGAGGTTGTTTCCAAGGAAAAAACAATAACAAAGGGTGGATCAACGAGTCATGGGACATCCTCCCAGTTAGCATTTGAGTAGCTTGTGACATATATAGAGGAAGAAGTGTATAGTTAAAGATCATTATCACGTGTGCCCCATATGTATCAAATAATGTGTTTGAGTTCCTGTATGTGGGGCTTCCTCGAATCATGCATATAAAGGCATACTTGGTGAACCACAAAAGATATGTATGGACGAGTAAAAGTGAGGTATTGTAATTCCCCCGTAAGGATACGGTAGAGGGACGAGTCAGAGATTGGGGAACCACTAACACCAAGTTTGGCAGTTGACTCAACTCAAGTGTAACACGAGTTGCATTGTGACATGTTAATGCGTTGAAGGATATCAAATGTGTACTTCTAAGAGAGAAACATCCAAGCAACCAATCGGTTGACCAAAATGCCTAAAAAAGTCCAATTCCCTAAGACATGTCATCGAGAACTCTATGATAAGAGAAACAATGATTGACTAAGAAGAGTCGCACTGGAGGCGGTGAGAATAATTCCATCCACGTATAAAAGTAAATATGGCATGGCTTGTCCCCGCCGAAGGATGAAGAGAGATGAATCGTATTTGTTGTGTTCAAATCAAAGAGTGATGACATGTAATCTATGGAACCATGTGTGAGGGACCAATATGAGTCTGTGTAACGACTTATGAAGACAACATACATGATTTGGCTTCTCTATATTAATGAAATTGGGTGGCTGGTGCATTAAAACAATATTGGACAAATGACTGTGTAGAAATGCATTTTTCACGTCTAGTTGATGAACATGCCAGCTTTGAGAAATCGCAAGGCTGATAACAGTGTGAATGGCCACAGTCTTAACAACTACGTTAAATGTTTCATCACATTCAATACCCAATTGTTGACCTTTTCCATTTGCCATAAGTCTATCTTTGTACCTACTAAGATATCCTTCAACATTAAATTTATGTTTGTAATGTTATATTGATCGGACCACATTGACATCCGATGGGAGGGGTATGAGAATTCATGTGCCATTTTTAATTAACACGTTTTATTCATCACGCATAGTGGAGTGCCAATTAGGATCTTTAAGGGCACAATTATGGGATTTTGGAATTGGAGATAAACTAGATGTATAAAGGTTAAGGCGTTAATTGGGTTTAACAATGCCACATCTAGATCAAGTGGTTATTGGATGATTGGAGAGCGGAATGGTTGTGTGGATGGCCGCTGGTTGAGGGGCGTTTGAGAAGTCAGTGAGGAACCAGTGAAGGATGGTATATCGGGTGAGCTTAAGCAGCGACGGGCGAGGTGTCATTGGCTACTAAGGTTAAATTAAGTGAATTGGGGGGGGGGGGGTGGAGAGGTCTGGAAAGGTGTGGTGGTTGTCAGAATAATTGAAGTCGGTGGTTTAGAAATAATAATGTGAGTTACTATTGGATTTGGTTGATGATATGGTTCAAGAAATTCATAAGATAGAGAGGAGTTAGGTGTCATGGAAGAAAAAAGAAAGACACATTCATCACAGGTGACATGTCAGGAAATAATGATCTTTTTGGGATAGCCGAGGAAAACACGTAGGGTGGATTTCAAGGAAAGTTTGTTAGGTGGATATATATATATATATATATATATATATATATATATATATATATATATATATATATATATATATATATATATATATATGGGTAACACAATTTTCCAAAGATGTGAAGGGGGCCATATGTTGGTTGTGTTTCGAAGTTTTTATGTTGGGGTTGTCATTGACTAATAGATTTTGATGGAAGGAGATTTAGGAGGTACGTCGTTATGTTGAGAGCTTCCACCCAATATGCGGGTGGGAGATGAGATTGAAAAAGAAGGGATCGAAAAAGGTTGTTAATTTTTTGGAGCATGCGTTCGGACTTCGCATTTTGTTGGGAGGTTTTTAGACATGAGAAACGGATATGAATGACATTGTTGTCAAAGATGTCATGAATGGTTTGTTATCAAACTCACCCTCATGATCAAATTGAAAAGCAGGAATATCACGATTAAATTGATTGTAGACAAATGGTGCAAAAATGAAAGAAATTTGATATGGTGTCACATTTTCGGTGAAGAGGATAAACCCATAAGTAGTGTGAGGAATGATCTAGAAAGATGACATAATATTTGAGACCACTTACATTGGGTAATGGTGAAGTCCAAATATCGCAATGAATTAAATCAAATGGAGAGTTCACGATTTTGTTAGAAGCAAAAACATGTGAGATTAACATGTTTTCCCATTTGGCACGCATTACATAATAATTTGGAAATTGTTTTATTACAAGAAAACAAATTATTGGAAAACAAATGACGAAGCACTTCGTTCCCGGGGTATCCGAGTCGTTGGTGTCAAGTCCTAGGGCTTGAAGAAACGAACGCTTGAGGAAGATATTTGATCATGAAATAGATAAAGGTCTTCAATGTTATCACATTGGATAAGGATATAGCGAGTCCAAGTGTCCTTAAAAAAAAAAACTATTTTTGTCAAATTCAAAGGAACAATCATTATCAGTAGTAAATCTGCAAGCATATATCATTTTTTTTTATATTTGTTGTAACAAGAACGTTGTGAAAGTGAAGAGGTTAGTGAGGTGTTAGAAGGATGTTATCAATTATTAAAAAATGTTTAAAGATTATTCGTACCTGACGAGAGGTGGTTTGTAGCACCCCTATCCATGAACTAGCCAAAATTCATCGCTTCTTGAAGGTTTAATGTTTGAAACGCCTCAGGAAGAGTAATGGGTTGATCAGTCGCATCTGATATGGGCTAACTAGTATGAAAGGCAGTTGGTTGTTGGGTTGCTTGTGATTGTCGAGAGAACCTATCACCCCTATTTGGGGTCCAGTTATTTGGAGGATGAGGTTGGCCTGAACCTCATGGCTATTGATGAGGATATGTAGTCCTATTTTTTTAGGTCATTTGTTAGAGCTAGGACGTTAACTTAGGAGGAATTCCAAACGGAAACCAAGCAGTTGGCTGAAAAGGAAGAGGTTTTCGACGATCACCAACACATCGATCACCTCTATCATTGTTTCATCGGTTATTGCTCCCCTGAGTCTGATCATTATTATTTCGCTGATTTTTCTGATTGTCGCCTCTTATAGGGAAGGTCGAGCGGCACCAATTCCGACAAGAAGGGTTATTGGGGCGGAGGAGTTATCGTGTTCGTGGTGAATTCCTTGGGCAATCCTTGTCAGAGAGAGACAAATTTCTTTAAGAAAAAGAATTGAACACAT